AGTATTTTATTAATGGCAATGGACCAGTCCAAAATCCATCTGTTCTCAATGGACCAGTCAATTTGCCAACCCTGTTTAATAGTGATGAGACAACAATGCTTTTTGCATATGATCAGGACATTCTATCTTATGATATTCAAACAGGTTGTCAAAATGATGATGTAAAGAATGCTCTTGATCTAATAATATATTTTCGGCAAATTGTGTGCAGAGATGGACTAGTCATCAAGAACTTCCTGGCAAAATCGACAACTTGCTATAATCAAAGTATTTTGAAGGCGGTGCCAAAACTTCCGAATATAGCAGAAAAATCTTGAGAAGCAGTCACTAAGCTAACACCTAGGAAAAAGCGGATCAATTATATATATCAATGGAATTGAAAATCTCAACTTTTTTCGTTTCATCAAGCTGTTGGAAAATCAATTGATGAAGTTGTACATAGTGTATGTAGTGTGATGTAACTGTTCATTGGAAAATAAAAAATTAATTATATTTTTTTGATGATATAAGCACTCTCAAATCTGCAATACTAAATGTGTCATGAAACATATATTATTCGGAGAGCAACAAAATTTCCTTCATGCCTTATGCCTGCCTACCGATAATGAGTATTACGATCGTCAATGGTGTACCTGTGATATGTGTTGCTTCGACCGATCGTGTTCACAATCCACATGTTTTTTTTCGTGCGACCGAATTTTTTCACTGTTTAGTGTTTTTGTAGCTCTGCTGATTAATTTTTTGTCAATACCAAATTTCACTTTTCCCATACGGAATGAAGTCTTGTAATAATTTCAAGCAGGAATATGGGTGCAAGTACAAGCTAATGCATTATAAAAGCAGGTGAGGTTGTGCGGGAAATGATATCTGGTTATAACTGTTGATAATATGTCTCTTTCTAACCTCAAAATCCTTGCATTAAAATACCTCCCCAGGAGATATTGTGGACAGAATTATTTTTGAGTCTAATAAAAAAGCCATTTACCACTCTACCATGTGGTCATATATTTCATCATACTTGTCTTGAAAAAGGTACCATAAATGGTATAGAAATTTGTCCTGTTAATAATTGTTTGAAATTTTTGAATTTGCAAAAAGTGATCGGCATGAAGAATCTTCACGCGTGTGATTTTTTATTTATACCAATTAACACTCATGTATGTTTCAGCTGTAGTCAACAGATTAATCATGGTCCCGTAGAACCTCCTTGCTTTATTTTATGAAAAATGTTGCCGAAATGACAACATAAAAATAAACCCAGAAGGACGTAAAAGATATGTATCACTATTACATGATGTGAATACAAATAAAAAAAAAATAATATTTCTAAACGATTTTACATACGTAAATAATTCTCAAATTTTTAAATGCATTACTAAATATCAAAAATTTTCATATTTCTAAATAATGATTTTATACGAATAATTCTCAAATTTCTATATATAATGATGAAAATAATGAAATGCCAACTGAAGAGTGAATTCTTAATTCTTGAGGAAATTGAGAGGAGAAGGATGTTATTGTAAGTAGTACACGACTATTCCTAATGTTTCAATAAATGAAATTGTAAAAGCTTTTGAGCCTGCTTTTGACTTTCTTGAACAAAATAATATACAAGCAGATTATAATAAATTAAAAGTTTTAAAATCATTAAATCATATAGTATTCAAAATTCAATACAAACAAACATTACTAGTTTTTTCGGTAAATAATGAATATTAGCATTTTAATTTTTTAAATAGATATACTTGATTTAATTAAGAAAGCATGATTCATTAATGTGATAAGAGGTTGCTGCGAATTTGTGTGATTATCACACAATCATTCATAACAAATTTTAGAAAGGAATGGATTGGTTTATCAAAAAGGTAATGGTTTTCAAAGAAATTATTAGTTTTATTAATCGAAAAAGTAATTGTTTGCAAAGATCTCCGATAATAGTTCTTAGAATATAACGATTTTATCTCGGTAAAATAGATCTTTCATGACAAAAAAAAAAAAACATGTATATACATTTTTTTTCTTATTTTGTAAATAATTATTAAATAAATTCATGTTGATTTCAACATGAAAGAAGACAGCAGAGAAAATCAAGCAAAAGTTAAAAAGACTAGCAAGAGAAAAAACGGGAGGTTAACAGGTGTCATTGAAAGTAGAAAGGTTTTACGACCTTGGAAAGAAAATTAATCTGCAATTTAACATCTCTCGAAAATAGAAATTACTTCTCCAAAAATCAAGTTTAACAAGTTGATTTTCAATATCTCCTCAATATCAACATCAACGTGCCATGTTAACTTCTCCCAGCATGATCACATCATGATTAATAGAGAAAAGAGGATTTATCACGATGCAACCAACTTCGTGAAACTGCAAATTCCTTTTTATAG